CATTTTAATTATCATTATAATGTTATATATTAATTATAAAAGCTTCATGGTATGATATCTATTTTTTCTAATTTAAAATCTTATGTTAAAGCTAAAATTCTTGACGGATTTAAGACAACCTAACGACATGTGCAGAGCGTATACGCTGTCAAGCACACACACACACACGCGCACACAACGATATGCTGAGCTGTTGTCAAGGCAACACACACATACACACACACACACATGTATAAGTAATATAGTTTGTGGATATAGGAGTCTGTTCTTGCTGGTTGTTCATTTTAATTATGCAGAATGCTATGCATCAACGTTAAACTTAAATGCCAGGCAATGAAATACATGAATAGACACACACATACACACACACACACACACACGCATACACACATACGCTTGCAGTCTGAGGCAGTGCTCTCGTTAGCCCTTTATCCACATGGCGTCGTCTTAAGCGACGTGGATTTATTTAGCCTGCGTCTATTGCAACCTAATAATAGCAAGCGGCAAGAGGAAGAGTGAGAGAGAGAGAGAAAAGAAACAGCTCCCATGCTGCATGTGGCACGTTGCAAGCAAGCTCCGTGAAGCGTTGCCGTAAATCCCTGCCAAGTTAAGTCAACGTCGCAAAGTCGCTGACTGCACTTCTTGCCGTCGCTGGCAGGCAGCAGGCAGCAGGCAGCAGGCAGAAGGCAGCCGGCAGTGCATTACCTACGCCCCCATGCCACACCCACCACCACCGTCAGGCAGGCGCAGCATGAAATAAGTGCAACGTGGCGTATGAGCAACTTAGCAACTTCAGGCGACGACTCGCGCTGACACACACAGCGAATTTGTCGCTCTTAAGCGACATACAATTTAGTACCATTTTTTTTTTCTCCCACTCTTCTCCTTTCTGGTTTCATTTCCATTTACACTAGCCAACAACAGTGCGTTTGATTCGATTTGATGCGAGCTCTTAAGTTGCATTTCGTGTTAAATGAACGCATTTATACGAACTGTGCGCTCCCTTGATGAACCTTCGCGCATTGATTTGATAAGTGGCAACGCTTTGTAGCCATCTCACTTACACTCCACCTCGCGCTCGCTCTCCCTTTTTCGCACTGTGCAACCCATTTGTACCACTGATTGCAACCAGTTGGGCTCACACATGTTGGCGCTGATGCATTTTTCACTTTGAATG